ACTTGGTAGCCCAGGCTGGCCTCGAACTCACAGAGATCCACCTGGCTCTGCCTCCCGAGTGCTGGGATTAAAGGCGTGCGCCACCACCGCCCGGCTTGATTAGATTTTTTAATGAAACTAGGAATGCTAAAAATATTTTGGTGGAAAACTGTAACTGACAAGGCGCAGTTAAGTAATTTGGTTGAAGTTCACTAAGTAGTCTAGACAAAGAAGGAATAATGTTTCCCTTTATCTCCTTAGGATAGCAGTGAGATACATTTCAAAGTGAAAATGACAACACATCTCAAGAAACTCAAAGAGTCATACTGTCAGAGACAGGTGAGTACTGGGACTCCGCTCCGACAGTGCTGGGCCGGAGCTGCTGGCTGAAGGTGGTTAGGAGACGTCTGTCTCACCATTAGAATGTTATCTGTCATTAACCATACACTGTCCTTTTCCTCGTTACACCATTTCAAAGTTTAATTAATAAGATAGAGAAAAGTAACTCACTTTTACTGACTGCTCGACTGAATATTTTTGCCTTGATGGTTTGTATCTGTATATAACAATAAAAGCAAGTCTTTTTTGTGATTATTGTGAAATTTCCCTGTGTTTCTAACCATGAGTTTTAGGCCTTATATCAAATTTAAATCTATAATTAATATATTTTCTTGGGGCTAGGAACATGACTCAGCAGTTAAGAGCACTGACTGCTCCTCCAAAGGACTTGGGTTGGAGTCTCAGTGCCCACTTGGTGCCTCACAGCCGTCTGCAGCTGCAGTACTGTGGGCCTGATGTCCTCCTGTGAGCACTGCACACGTGGTGCACAGACGTGGAGGCAGGCAAAACATCCACATACATAAAAAAATACTTAGAAATATTTTCCTTTACACACAATATAGACTGCTGCTAAGTACGTACCATATTTTCAAGCATATTTCAAGGAATTATCTCCTTTAAAAAAAAATGTGTATGAGGGCTGGAGAGATGCTCGGGGGTTCTAGAGGACCTGGATTCAATTCCCAAAACCTGCATGGCAGCTCATACCTGTCTATAACTCCAGTTTCAGGGCTTCTGACACCCTCACATAGATATACATGCAGGCAAAACACCAATGAACACAAAATTTAAAATGTGTGTGTGTGTGTGTGTGTAGTTGTCTACATTAACACATAACATCTTATACTCACAAATAATAAAAATTTGGGGGAAAGTTCATGAATAAATAAAATCTTCAGCTAAAAATGTTCCAGGATAGCCAGGCCTACATAGTGAGACCCTGCCTCAAATACACACATACACACATACATATAATAAAAACGAATGTAAGAATGTACTTTATGCTGTGCATGAGGTGCACCTGTAATCCTAACACTGATGAGGTGATGTATGTAGGAAGAGGTTAAGAGTTCAAGGTTATCATAAGAAATTTGAGACCAGCCTGAGCTGTATGAAACTATCTCATAAAGCTAAAAACAAAACATCAGAGATAACCAAGGTTGAATTTTTTGTTTGTTTTGAGTCAGGGTCTCTTACACAGCCTTTGCTGACCTGTAACTCACTATGTAGATCAGGCTCTCCTGGAACTCAGAGATCCTTCTACCTCTGCCTCCTAGTATTTTTTTTTTCCTCCCCCACACAGCCTTGGCTGATCTGGAACTCAGTCTATAGACCAGGCTGACCTCGAACTCACAGAGACCCGCCAGCCTCTGCGTCTCAAGTGCTGGGATTAAAGGCATGTGCCACCACCACCCGGCACCTAGTATGTTTTAATTTCTTTGTAATTTTTTTTTTCAGGGACAGTGTTCAAACACCCACAGATATAAGTGTTTAAGTTCAATAGTTGTTTGGGCTTTTTTTAAAAGTTAAATTCTATTTGTTCGTGTATGGTGTTTTGCCTCATGTGTGTCTGTGTACTATATACATGCAGTGCCCTCAGATACTAGAGAGGGCATTGGATCCCCCAGGAATGGAATTACAGTTAGCTGCCAAGTGGATGCTGGGAATTGAAACTGAGTCCTCTGGAAGAGCAGCCATTTCTCTAGTCCTTAAATAGGTGATTCTTTTTTTTTGTTTTGTTTTTTGTTTTTGAGACAGGGTTTCTCTGTGTAGCTTTGTGCCTCTCCTGGATCTCACTTGGTAGTCGAGGCTGGCCTCAAACTCAGAGATCCGCCTGGCTCTTCCTCCTGAGTGCTGGGATTAAAGGCGTGTGCCACCACTGCCCGGCTAAATAGGTGGTTTTTGATTCGCACTTCTAGTGAAGTTATTTTCCTCTAAGTGAATCATCTCCGCTTTAGCTATCATGTTGAAATGGTTAGAAAATACAAACATGTTTTGTGGCATTTAGATCTGTTCTGTTATATATATTACTGTGCCTTAGCTAGCTACCATTTGCATTACCAAATTCTTGGGATTTGATGTTTAAAACCAGTTTTGCTTATATAGTTAGAAGCTAGTAAAGGCAGTTCCTTGTTTTCCCTTACGCTAGCTCAGACTTAAGGGGGAGGTGAATGTAGCAGTGGTTGGGAGGGTAGGCTTATCAATCGTTTTGGGCTAAAATTCTTAGCTAGCTTCTTTTATCTATAGGCCGTAAGTTCCCTAGTTGTAACATGAAGATGAGGTGGTAATACCTTATTGAGTCTATGCAAAGAGCATTGTGACTGCATATAAAGCACTTGGTAGGATAGCCTTCCTAACAAATAATTAGTTCTCGTTATATGGTAATTAGGGTTGAATTGGTGGTCAAAGTTTATGACCTTTGTAGCTTGTTAAGCCATTTTATGTTTGTTTGTTTGTTTTTGGTATATCATAGTTATTTATACCTAAGATATTTACACACACTTTCTCTTTCTTTTTTAAGGGAGTTCCAATGAATTCACTCAGGTTTCTCTTTGAAGGTCAGAGAATTGCTGATAATCATACTCCAAAAGAAGTAAGTATGATTTCTTTTCTGAGTCAAACTTGAAATAAGTAAGATTTTGGATTGAAAGGGTTAGGATTATAGCTCAGAGATGGAGCATGTACTTAGTATGCAAGTGTCCCAGAATTTGATCCCTGGCGCCAAAATAAAAGGAAAAAAGGAACAGTTTTTAGAATTTATATTTATTGCGTGTATGTTCACATGTTCATAAGGGTCATGATGCATATGTGGGAGTCATTTCTCTACCATGGGTTGTAGGTCCAAAGCCTATTGCAACAACCTGGGGACAAAAAAAATTTTTTTCCTTGGGTCTCAGAGGTTAAGAATACTTGTTCATACAGAGGACCTGGTTTCAGTTCCCAGCACCACATAATGTATCATTTGTAACTCCAGTTCCAAGGGATATATCTTTGGTTTGGTTTTTTGAGACAGGATTTCTCTGTGTAATAGCCTTAGCTGTCCTGGAACTTGATCTGTACACCAGGGTAGCCTCAAACTCACAGAGATCCTCCGGCCTCTGCCTCCCCCTCCTGAGTGCTGGGATTAAAGGTGTGGGCTACCACCACCCAGCTGAAAACAAATCTTTTTTTTTTTTTTTATTTTTGTTTTTTTACAGGCAGGGTTTCTCTGTGTAGCTTTGGTGCCTGTCCTGGCTGGATCT